CGCCAGCTAATATCTGCTCTGCCTTCCGTGGCGCAGGCCTTATTCCTCTCTAACTAGACGCTGTTCTATCAAAGCTTGATATAAAGCTCCGTACGCCTACTCCACCAGCTGTTCTAGAGGCTCTCTGGCAGGCTCGTACGCCTAGCAACACACGCGAGCTTAAAGCTTAATCGACGTTAATACGCGATCGCGTTTAGCGGCACTAAGGCTTATCGCTAGCTTTAATTATTGCAGCAATTGACCAGCTTAAGAAGGGGGCAGAGGTAATGATACTCTCGGCTGAGCTAATGCGCGATCGGATCACTAGCCTTGAGAGAGCTAATGCAGCAGTAACGAAGCGTAGGCAGCGTAAAAAAAAGCGAATACAGAAGCAAGGAGTGCTAACAAAGGGAGCTGGAGAGGATCTACTTGCTCAGCGTGAGGCTGATTAGCAGATTGCTCATGAAGAGCGTCAAGGAGGAGAGCGATCAGGTGCTAGTCGCCAGGCTCTTGCGCGCTGTAGTAGGTGTAGAGAGACTGGTCATAATACGCGTACATGCAAGAAAGATACTATAGGTACTACTTAATATATTATATTAATATATATCAAGATAGTTACATTGTGGTGGCGCTATACGCTTATAGAGGTGCGTAGGTTTAGTGGGTGCGCGACTCGCTTGCCTGCGCGACTCGCTTATCCATCACGTTATTGAAATAGCGATAGTCATGCATTCACGTGGTAAACTAAGTAGTGGACAGACGAGCTCCCGAACAAGCCTTTAGCTCAAGAACTGGAATTAATGGGTGGGGCTGGGTTCGGTACGTAGTTAGGTACGTAGATGGGTAGAGTTTGGGTAGAGCTTACTCACTCTGCGCTATCCCGCACATGATACTTCTTCTCTGCAGCCAAAAAGAAAAGGCGAAAAAAAGAAAGATATACGAGAAAGAAACACATGCATGAGAAGACAAGAGCCGTACCAACCGTATGCAGCCGGCAACTAAATACAACCCTAAGCTAGAAAATTCTAGCTGCCCTGACATGTCGTTATGTTTTCTTTTCTAGTGATTGCTTCTAGAATCCAGCTACTACATTTGGGTCTTGACTCGTTACAAACATTCTCGCATTAGCCGGAGGGAAGAATAAAAGGGAACAAAAGTGCTTTCCGGTGGAGTGAACATTGGATTGTAGATCGTTCGATTACGTGCAGAACGCTAGCCTGGTGCGACGATAATGACGAAAGTGGTGGTGGTGAAGGTTGCTGTTGTAATGGTGTTTCTATGCATACGTACATGGTAATCTACATACACCGCAACATGTTACTCTACATACGCGCGGAGACACACCCACACAAACGTACTCCCTGTGTATATCGCATGAGTGAGGTTCTAACTACATTCGTTCTTACATACATGCATGCGCTTACAACACCATCTGCATTTGTGTAACCCGTCGGGTAAATGCAGCGTACATCTTCTCAACGGCTCCCTCTTTCCATGGCATTCTGTCTATTTGCTTTTTTTCATCAGTTTTACACATCAATCTGTTTTCGTTGTAGATTGCATGCATGACCAGCAAGAGTACGGCGTCAACCGAATTAGGAAAACTAGGATATGTTCGTTGGTGCATTTGCACTACTTCATGAGCATGAGGTGTGTGTAACCTGCAAGTCGTTTTGCTGTTGAGGTTGAGGTTGGGGTATGGGGAACTGAAGCGGTGTGAAAAGGGCAGGTGTGAGTGCGAGATAGTGGCGTTCGTTGCGGTGACAGTATTGTTGGGAAAATACACGAGAAGATAACTTGGTGGAGGATTCATGACCGATGTGTAATCACTGGACAGGAAAAAATATAGTGGTGTCTCCCCGGGGTCAATATACAGACAGTGGGCTGTTGCTAAGTCCCTCTTTCCAGAGCTGACAGTTACCCTTTTCCAAGACAACTTGTCAATAAGTTGCCAAAAAGGAGACAAGATATTCAGGTAAAACACCACCATTCCCTCATTCTTCAAAGGCAAACGTCACTAAGTGCACACTCATGATATCTTTCTACGTTGATGTATCGTATCTAATCGCATTTTAGAAACCCTGCCTGAACTTGGGCGCATATACCTCTTCCAGGTATTTTGCGTCTTCATCACTAAGCTTGAAGTGAATGTTCTGTACCGCTTCTTCAATTCTTTGTTTGCTGCCCAACCCGATGATGGGGCAAACGCCCTTTTTGATAGTCCATGCTGTTGCAATGCATGCCATGCTGACGTTGTTCTTCTTTGCAACCTCTTCCACTCGCTCAATGATCTTCTTGTCAATGGCGTCTTCCCTCGAGTAAACGAGTAGGTCCTGGAATTTATCGGTTTCTGCACGCTTCGTAGATCGATCATTCCAAGGGCGCGTGAGGGCACCACGGGCTATGGGCGACCATGGGATGAGACCGACGCCAGTGTCTTGACAGTATGGAATCTGGACGATTTGTTAGAGCGGCCCGCAGAACTCCCTATACTCTGGTGCTTACCATTTCGCGCTCCTCCTCGCGGTAGAGCAAGTTGTAGTAGTTCTGCATTGAGATAAACTTGTGCCAACCGTTCTTGTCTGCAATATTTTGCAGTGTTTGGAACTCCCACGCAGCCATTGAGCTGGCGCCAATGTAGCGTACCCAGCCCTTCTCAATAACATCGTTCAGGGCCTTCATGATTTCCTCCCTGGGTGTACCACGATCCAAACGATGGATCTGGAGGACATCAATGTAGGTGCCCAATCTTTCTACACTCTTCTCTACGGCGTCAAAGATGTGCTTGCGACTCAAGCCAACTTGATTGACCATCTCGGCATCGTTGATGGATGCTTGGGCAGTAGGAACGCTGGGGTCTTCTTCGATGACGCCGAAGTAGCATTTTGATAAAATGACAACCTTGCTGCGCGGAATATTGTACTGCTTCAGCGCTTTTGCAATGATCTTTTCGGAGATACCGTGGGAGTACATGTCGGCCTTGACAGCGTTCTGTTAGCCCTGCTTTGACGTATGCGCTACCATTGCGATGATATGTAGGAAGTCGTCCGGGGGACAAACATACCGTATCCCAGGTGTTGATACCGCACTTGTATGCATGCTCAAGCAGTGGCAAGCTTTCAGCTTCGTCCAGAACCCATGGCTGCCATTTGGAAGACCCATAGCTCATGGCACCCAAGATGACCTTTGAGACTTTGAGGCCAGACTTTCCTAAGCTATTTCACATGAGCATACTTGCTATTGGAAGCCCCAGTTGCTCCCGGCAGTGAAGAACTCACTTGACGTATTCCATCTTCTTCTCTGCCATTGTTGCGTATGTATATGGGGCCTCTTGTAAATTTGTGTGTAGGGAGTCGTGGGTGACAGTTTTTTCGCGATTGTGACCTTCGCAGCAAGGCAATGGGGAGTTTATAAATCAGGTGGTAGTGTTATTGAAGGAGAATCGCGGGGTTTACTGTAAAAGCCGTTCAGCTCGTCCGGCTTTAAGTCAATTAAATGAATTCAAGCCATGGAAGGCCGGGAAGTGGACTCGCCGCTGCCAATCTACGTTCGATAATGTAGCCGTTAAAGTGGGGGTGGGATTTAGCGGAGATATTGCCAGTGGCGTCAAATGAGGTGGGGTTGTCGGAATTAAGCCGCGGTAAATGCAGTACCGCGATGGCAATAAAGCCAACATGGTGGTGTCGCTGTTCAACGTCAACAAGCCAGATATTGTAAAGCATGTATTGTGCACACACATAATTTGTGCAAGAAGCCGCACAGTCTGAGTGGTGGATCAATGAAGACAAGTCATCACGCGTCGCATGGGCACAACAGTATTTGAGCGAACTCGAAGCCCGTAGGCAAGTGTGGATGCATTGATGAGGCTTTAGTAGCCGTATGAACTATGAATAAAACCGACCCGCTTTAACGCAGCCCGTAGGCTGAATCATGTCATAAACGCCATACCCAGAATGATATCGTAGACTGTCGTCACGCTTACTGACCGCCACGTAGACGGAGCACCAAGTGGAGCGTGGACTCCTTCTGGATATTGTAGTCGGCAAGCGTCCTGCCGTCCTCAAGTTGCTTACCAGCAAAGATGAGACGCTGCTGGTCAGGAGGGATACCCTCCTTATCCTGAATCTTCGCCTTTACGTTGTCAATGGTATCGCTTGATTCCACCTCCAAAGTAATCGTCTTGCCGGTGAGTGTCTTGACGAAGATTTGCATACCACCACGCAGACGGAGCACCAAGTGAAGTGTCGACTCCTTCTGAATGTTGTAGTCGGCAAGGGTACGACCATCTTCCAACTGCTTGCCCGCAAAGATTAGACGTTGCTGGTCTGGAGGAATACCTTCCTTGTCCTGAATCTTTGCCTTAACGTTGTCGATAGTATCCGAAGACTCGACCTCCAGCGTGATGGTCTTTCCAGTCAGCGTCTTGACGAAAATCTGCATACCACCGCGCAGACGGAGGACGAGATGCAGAGTAGACTCCTTCTGGATGTTGTAGTCGGCAAGGGTTCGGCCATCCTCGAGTTGCTTGCCGGCGAAAATCAGACGCTGCTGGTCTGGTGGGATGCCCTCCTTGTCCTGAATCTTGGCCTTGACATTGTCGATGGTGTCTGAGGACTCAACCTCGAGTGTGATGGTCTTTCCGGTGACTGGGAGTGATGTTAGTGGCAGCTCCAACGTGAGCGACAACCAGGTGGCAACTTACGAGTCTTGACGAAGATTTGCATACCACCACGGAGTCGGAGGACAAGGTGGAGGGTTGATTCCTTCTGAATGTTGTAGTCGGCAAGGGTTCGGCCATCCTCGAGTTGCTTGCCGGCGAAAATCAGACGCTGCTGGTCTGGTGGGATGCCCTCCTTGTCCTGAATCTTGGCCTTGACATTGTCGATGGTGTCTGAGGACTCAACCTCGAGGGTGATGGTCTTGCCGGTGACTGCGAAGCTGGTTAGCAGCTGAGGCGCGGTACAGGCCGAGGTGGCGATGGCTACTACTTACGGGTCTTGACGAAGATCTGCATGGTTGCGTGTTGTCTTCTGTGTTTGATGTGTGATGGGGTTGTGTATGTACTGGAAACAGCTCTGTTTGGTGCTGTAGGTTGAGGGTAAGAGTAAGGAAAGAGAGAAAGGGCAGGGCTGGCGGAGAGGTGGCTTATATGGAGGCAGGCTGAGGCAGTGACTGGGTCAAAGGGCGAGTAATGATGCGATCAGAGTCCGTGCACCAATCAGCAGCGGCGCACGGGAACATTCCGGCTGTTTCCACCGCCTCGCCGCAGCGCTGCCCGTCACCCATTCTTTGCCGCCGTCTGTGTGCTATTATTCAGCCTGGCAATTCACTTGCTGCACTAGAACTCCACCCGTTTGTTGCCTCCTTTCGTCGCCGCCTCGAGTTCCATGGTGTTGTTGGTGTTGTGGCGACTATGGACTATCATGGACTCCAGCTCTCCCCCCGCTGGGCCCACCGTTATCGCCTGGAGCCTGGACCCCCCCTTGCCCCCCCGGGCATGTGACGTATACGCTCCCAAAGAAGCCAACCGCGCCTCTGCGGTGCTCAAGCAGACCACCGCCTTCACCGACCCGGTACCAGACGCCATACGTGTACATACAGTAGAGTACTGTACAGTCCGCAACCGGAACCTAAAATGGTTGACTGCATTATCAAAGGTTGGTCTGATGCCTGTCAGAGCTGCTGTCGCGCTATATTCAATGTGCCAAGGCAACTGCGACAGTGAATCTATTGCGCAGCCCCCGGGGCGAAACTACTCATCGCGCATGGTCAAGCACGCCACTAAGTGTAGAACTTCACTTCCAGACAGCATTTACATCGCTCGGAAGGTATCAAGCATGCGCCAAGTGATGAATATGCAGCTGTGACGCACACAAGATATGTGATCATGGTATGTCACAGCCGCATCGCGGGGTAAGTCTTTCTTCTACTGTCCTGAATCCAGCTCCTATCCACGGCGTGATTACGGTTACCGCGGCCGAACTTGCACGTCAGACCTTCTCGAAGCCCAGTAATCGACTCCCTCTATCGGCGCGCAACCGGATTAGTCGATTTACGACGTGCTCCACCTCCGCAATGGCGACCCCGACGCTCACAAATCCTTCGCTGACAGCCGCCGTGTGCTCGCTCGAACACAGGGTATGGGCAGCGCTCTGCAGCTCTGGCTCCGATATTATCCCACTCTTGTCGAGCAACCCCGTCATGATATTTCCGGGCGACATGATCCTTAGCTCTGTGTCCTCACCGACCGTTCACGAGATGCTTCAGGGCCCCAATTTCAGACCTTGGAAATCGTATACTCTCAGTCATGACGAGGTGGTTCAGCTGGGCAAAGATAGTGCGCTGATTTATTATCGCGTGGAAGCTGTAAGAGACAATGAGACATTCAGAGCCATTTGTTCGAGTGCATGGGTTCTCGAAGGTTCCAGCGAGAGTCTGGCGGGAGAATGGAAGATTGCAAGCCATCAGCAGACCCTGATCTAGATGATATATGGTACTGGTAATATGAGAGTATGCCAAGTGTGGCCTCGAGGTTGACTCGATAAACGCTACTTATCCAACCAGGATCACAAACTATAATTAAACATTTCCAAGCACATCACCTTACTTACAGCATTGCCTTTTCTTTACTTAAATGCTACAGCATGGATTGTGCAAGGCCCCCAAACGCACCAACATAAGCTGAACTGATGGCGACGGCGATCTCCACATCGCGCGGGCGCAACCACTAGCGTCCGCTCAGTGACGTATGGATCTTCCGATGTTCCGTTGCTGAACGACCCCCCAACAGGGGGTCAAGACCACAAGAAGCAACGAAACCAGCACCAGCCTTGCTATCACTTTTCGCTTTAACCCTATCCTTCTTTTAATCAATGAAGACAGCTGTCTTTCGGCAGCTTGGTCAGTCGTTTTTCTTTCAACCAACCGTCACTGTTCCGAGCATATATCTGCCATTACGTCTACACACGTCTACAAAGCGCCTGAGCAATATGGCAGTCACATATGCTGCAGCCGTCAGCATACCCAACGGGGCACTGCGGCAACCAACAATCCAAGCGCGTGCCTGCTCCGACCCTGATATGCGAGCATCGTTTGAGGCATCAGCAATACAGACGCACGGAGCCAAGCAAGAGAAGCAGAAGCCGCAGCGGCCTGGAGCAGGGGTCAGGGCAAAGACGAGTTTCCGGGGGTGGGCAACCAAGAAGGAAAGCAAGACGAGTCCGAAAGCTTTGCAACAGCAGCAGTACCACCAGAGAAGTGATTACCAGCCTTATATTGTCGAAGACAGCCGACCGTCAGGTCACTACCCTAGGGCAGAGCATAGGCCCAACTCTGGAAACGAGCAAGAAAATGTCTACGTACTTACGCTCAAGGTGACGGATGAGCTTGCAGAGTCCATGGAAGAGATGCGGAATCGGTATTTCCCCAAGCACCTGAATCGCACGGGTGCGCACTTGACGCTTTTTCATGCACTGCCCGAATCCAAGATGGAGACGCTAGTGCAGGGACTGGCACAGGTAGCAAGCAGTGTAAAGCCGTTTGCCGTCTCGTCTGGCAAGCCGTTCCGCATGCGCAAAGGCGTAGGAATCAATGTTGACGAGGGGTACCAGGCGATGAAACACGTGCACGCTGATTTGCAGTCGCAGTGGGCAATCTTTTTGAGTGAGCAGGATGCTAGTGGGTTCCGGCCGCACTGGACTGTCATGAACAAGGTGGACGATGAGCACAAGGTTGACGGTGCTTTTTCCACTATCAGACAGGAGCTGTCTGAGCGCAATCAGGAGGGGCAGGCCGTGGGGTTGGATCTGTGGAGGTATGAGCGCGGGAATTGGATCTTTGCCAAGGAGTTCCTTTTTGGCGACGCCACTAAGACTCCTTCAAAAGCGAGTACATCTGGGTCATCACCGGGTAGCAAAAGCTCGACCTGGTCACCTCGTCAGGGTGAGCAGAGTCCTAGTGGAGGTCCTGAAAGGAGGCCCAGCATGTTCAAACGGGGAAGTAGCGTCGGTAATGCCTTGCGGTCGATGAGCTTTCGACGAAAGAGTTGATCGATGTATCGCATGTGTGATGTCGTGGAGTACCGCGTATCTAGACTCGGCGTATGTTGTCCCTTCTGTACTAGAACATGTATAATATACTCACAGTTTGATGTTAATTGACCCAAATTAGCCTGTTGTTGGCACGAAGAAACCTGCAGACGGAGGGACTTGTACGACGTGTGGATTCTTTGGGTAGACTTTGCCAGGGTTTGTGGCTTGGCACCGCCATTTAGTGCATACGGAGCACACCGGTTGTAGTACCGGGTCTCCCATGGCCATGGTTCGTAATGGCCAAAGTGGCGGCATGTACTTAGATACTAGAGTACAGAGACGTGGGCACATGAACTGCTAAATATATGGAGGATTGCTTGACGACACCATAAGCTTTATTTACAACAGCGTCAGCATGTAGCATGAAGGCATAATGGGGTGTCTGTCTCGCCACAGGTGTACAGTAAGACGCGCGTCGCATAATGTTTGAGTCCCTTTCGAGGCCTATCGTGAGATGTGTGGAAGGGGGGCCACTAGAAGAGCCGTGGGTATGCGCCCTCGTACTCCGTACACACTGATCATGCGTACTTGTCAGCCACAGTGACAAGGCGACGGGCGGCCGTCACCGGCTCGGAAGTGGCCTGTGATTGGCCCGGCACCCGCCACAGTCGTCAGCCACAACCCGTCTCAAACCAGGGGCGTGGATCGCTTCCGACTGCGTGGACCGGGCGTGATCAAAAGATTCTGTTGCTCCAAAGCCTCCAATTTCACAGCATAGAGGCACGTGGGACATTCTCAGGGGAGAAGCGGTACAAGGAACAGGACTTGGGAATTGCGGGCAGCATGACCGCAGTTGAGGTAATTGGTACCTGCTCAGCTGCCGTCTCGTGATGCGCCGTTGGCAGCAATTGGCGGTGGTATACGACGTTACCCGCAGAGCACTGTGACCCTGTGCTGCAATTAGAAGCGGATAGGCTGAGTGATCAGGGATGGTCGCATCTGGGCCCCGAATTCTGCAGGGGCTGGTGCCGTTAGGGGACAATTGACGAGCGTAGCGGCCGACGGGCTGCAAATGCGGTGGGTGAAGAAAGGGGAAGCTGGACGCTAGAAGCTCGGAAGAGGCCAGGGAGCAGCTTAGCTCCGCTAAATGTGGACGCAGTACCAGACCATATAACATCCAGCTGGCCTCATCACACACCGAGCTCCCTGGCTTTGACCTACTTACGCATCCGCTTCTGTCCTCCCCTTTGCAAACCTGCCTTTCGCTTCTAGTGCTTGGAGCACCCCATTGCTAGCCTTCACAACACCACCGCCGCCTAATTCCTGACCACCGCCCCTTCACAACCCCTTCACAGCACCACCGCCAACATGAAAGGTATGCACACTCAATTGTGCTCCACCTACGCACAGCTAACCGTAGATGCAGCCATCATTCTCGTCGGAGGGTTTGGAACCCGTCTGAGGCCTTTGGTATGTCTCTCCACACCTCCGCCGCCTTAGCGAGCCCCGCGTTGGCAAAAGCAATGAGCCGCAAAGCTGACGCCCAATTGCAGACCCTCACCTACCCCAAGCCGCTCGTCGAGTTCGCCAACAAGCCCATGATCCAGCACCAGATTGAGGCCCTTGCTGCTGCTGGTGTCACCGATGTTGTCCTTGCTGTTAACTACCGCCCGGAGATCATGGCCGAGGCCCTCAAGACCGTTAGTAGATGCCTCCCATGATTATGCAGAACATTCCAATAACCGCCTGTGCAGTACGAGAAGCAGTACAACGTCAGCATCACTTTCTCCGTCGAGACCGAGCCCCTCGGCACTGCCGGTCCCCTCAAGCTCGCCGAGAACGTCCTGGGCAAGGACGACTCGCCCTTCTTCGTCCTCAACGCCGATGTCACATGCGACTACCCCTTCAAGCAGCTCGCTGAATTCCACAAGAACCACGGTGACGAGGGTACCATTGTCGTAACCAAGGTGGAGGAGCCATCCAAGTACGGTGTCGTTGTACACAAGCCTGGTCATGCCTCCAAGATTGACCGTTTCGTCGAGAAGCCCGTCGAGTTCGTCGGCAACCGCATTAACGCTGGTATTTACATCCTCAACACCAGCGTACTCAAGCGCATTGAGCTCCGCCCTACATCGATCGAGCAGGAAACTTTCCCTGCTATTGTCAAGGATGGTCTGCTCCACTCCTTTGACCTCGAGGGTTTCTGGATGGACGTTGGACAGCCCAAGGACTTCTTGTCCGGTACCTGCCTCTACCTTTCGTCGCTTGCTCGCAAGAACTCCAAGCTGCTCACGCCAGCATCCGAGCCTTACGTCTACGGCGGAAACGTCCTGATTGATCCTTCAGCCAAGATTGGCAAGAACTGCCGCATTGGACCCAACGTCACTATTGGACCTGACGTTGTTATTGGCGATGGTGTGCGCCTGCAGCGATGCGTACTTCTCAAGAACAGCCGTGTCAAGGACCACGCCTGGGTCAAGTCGACCATCGTCGGCTGGAACAGCACCGTCGGCAAGTGGGCACGTCTAGAGAACGTCACTGTTCTTGGTGACGATGTTTCAATTGGCGACGAGGTCTACGTCAATGGCGGTTCCGTGCTGCCGCACAAGTCGATCAAGCAGAACGTCGACAGTAAGTTATCCATGTGTTCTTCATTTAGTCGGTACACCAACTAACATTACCTAGCACCTTCGATCATCATGTAAACGCGATACCCGATCGGACACGACCGAGCTCTACACTTTTTAATACTGTGTACTTTCTTTGTATATTGCGCATACTACCCGGGCATATAGAGTGCGCAGGTGTTTCTGTTTCTCAATAAGGGCGTCCAATCATCCTTTTCAGCATATGGTTTTACGAAACATGAACACATGTACACTCAAAAAAGCGTCTAAGAAAGGCTGGGATGCTTTTTCTTTCTCCTCTGATATCCTGGTTTCGGGTCTTTTTTTGGCGGGTGTCAGCGGAATGGGGTTTTGTGGTAGTAGCTACAGAATCATATTTAGAGACGGGGTTTAGGGGAACAGAAAGAAATGAATGAAGATGGCGGTGGCATAAATGAAATGCATATTATAAGATATTTATTTAGTGTTTATTGAAGTATAGAATGTATATACTTGTGTTGATGTGGATTCGTGAATGATTGGTTCCGTTTTGATAATTACTAATCAAGTGTGGGGAACAACAAGGATATATGGATGTACCGTGCAATCAGTAGTAGTAGTAGTAGTCTCTCTCTCTCTTTCTAGGCACATGTACCAAATCTTCTCATTTGGTGTATTCCACCTCATCTCACACACTCCTCATCCTCCCTTTCATATTCCTATACTCTCCCTTCTCTTCATGTCAACTACAAAAAAAGGTAAAGCCATTACATGAAATGTCTGTATCCTGATCACTTCTTCTTCTTGGTAACTCCACTGCACTGTACCTTTTGCATCTCTCGTCCCCCTTTCCCTTTGTCTGCCCTAGTCTTCTTGCTCTTCTTGGTCACACGAGAAGTCGTCCCCTTAGTCGCAGTGGCTTTCCCTTTTCGTCCCGCGCGCCGCGTGGGTCTGGCGGCTGGCGCTGGTGTCGGAGACCGGAGTTGTGAGGACGGCGGTGGGCTGGAGAGCGGAGAGGACGTGTATTGTGGGCGTGGTCGTGGTGGGAGGTTTGATGCTGGTGAGCTGAGATGAGTTGGTGGAGAGGAGAGGGGGGAGGATAGTTGGGGAGAGGGTGCGGGTGAGCGGGTGGTGTCTTGCGCCTTGGTGAAGATGTTGACGACAGTGATGGAGTGGCGTGGTTGCGGGAGTTGTTGGTGGGTGGTGCCCGGAGTAATGTAGGTGTGAAGTCTTGTTCTTCTTCTTCGGTCTCTCGCTCGGAGTTTGTGATGGTGGTGGTTGGTCGGTATTCTGGGCGGAGTTGGTATGTTGCTTCTCCTTCTCCTTTGCCTTGGACGGCTTCGGCCATGTACTCAAAGACGGCTACGACGGCGTCTTCATGTCCGCGACCAAATCCGTTTATGCGGTCTGTAATGTCTTCGAGACTCAGCGGTCCATTGCTGAGGACTCGGATGAAGAAGGTTTCAATCTCCTGGGCTGTGGGCGCTTGAGTGGTGCATGGAGATGACATGATGAAGTGTTTTGATAATCTTCAAGATTTTCTTTCTGTGTAGCTGAAAGAAGAAGATTGGAGCGGACTTGCGTGAGCGAGGGGATGGGGATAGGGATAGGTCTTTGTAGTGTACTGAAAAGAGGTGAATAAAGAAGAAATCTGAGACAATGGGGTTGGTGCCTTGAGACAATAGCCATTATGGATAATGACAAGGACGTTTGGAATACTACGGTGAATCTGCCTCAGTGGCTTGTTATTCTCCAGTATTGTGTGTTATTGTACTGGTATTTTGGAGCTCATTGTATATAACATGAGATGATGTTCTGGTATTATGTTGTAAGTCGAGTGAAAATGAATTGTATAATAAACCTTGAGCATGGGTGAATGTGTGGTGTTTGGCCAAGCGTTTGCTACCTCACTCACAAACAGTAGATTCACTAAAGCAGAGTTTGTGTAGAAATCATTTTAATTCGTAATGTTCGTCATACTCCATGTCCTAAATCGTATGCACAGGGCATCGTCATACAATAGCACCTGTGAGCTGGAAGGATGGACAAGGTTGGAAGCAAAGTGAAGAGATGCTGTGCAAGTTTGCTCTTCCAACATGCCGACTTCCAAGCACTTGTGACTTCAGATACTCTACTGCATATCGGAGTAGATAATCAATGGCTTTGCCTCAAACCTGTGCAGCAATTGCTTCTTGATTCCAGCATGGACCTCATCAGCTTGGTCAAAGTATTCCATATCGGTTAGAGAATCAAAGACACAGCGAGCCATGAGGTTGTAGCCTTGGCTGCGGTGGTCGTCGTAGGGTGCACTGGCCTGGGCCAGCTGGATGTATTGCTTGCCGTCCTAGAAAGATGACGTTAGCTTGTATACCAGGGTACAAAGACAAAGCACCTCGGCAATCACGAGGGCACAAGATTGGCGGGTAGGGTATATTTAGCACCATGTCGGCTAGGAATGAGTAGCCTGAGCTGCCCACATGCATCGCGATCACAAGGAAGTTTCCGCGATATGCAGACTCCCACGACGGTCACTCCACCCCATTTTTCCTAGTCGCGGCAGTACTCTGCATCCGCCACGTACCGTAGCCGCTCGAAACATGGGCAAGCGACTAAGGAAAACATGTAGCCATGGTACGATTCGTCCACGGTGAGGAATTAAAAAAAAGGCGCAACAGATGCCCCGAGGGCGATAAGATTCTGGGCGTGTCGGAGATGACGAAATGGGCCTGACGTGCATGCACGGTCCGATTATGTAATGCGCATCGGGGCGCTGTGAAGAGCGGACATAGTATGGGTGCCTTCCTCTAAGGGAAAGGTCGGGCATAGACGACGGTCGGAGTACGAGTCAAGAAGCGTACTTTTCTAACGTACCTTTGTTGCGTCTTGGGCCAGAGTGCTGTACAGGCCGATTACTTCCTGGATGGTGTCTTTGTCGCCGATCTTGAACAACGTGAGGCGGACAATCTTGGGCATGATGGCGGCTCGCTAAATTATTGGGCGGGTACAAAGTAAATTCGGTGGGTGAGTCGAGTCTAGGCCTGGTGTATAGGTTGACGTGTGGACAGTGTTGAAACATTGACAGCACACAGGGTATATGTATAGGTCGTGGGCGTCGGAGTCTCAAGCTTCGGCATAGGTGGAGAGCCATGTGAAAGCCAGCGGCCATTTCGGTTCCCCTATGGTTTGCATAGGAAAAGTTTGAAATGAGCTCCGTACTTTTGATATGGGTGCTTTTTTGCTCAGGATACCGCAGTCGCAGAAGGCTGCCCCCAGCACCACGGGCATCATGTAGATACGTATGTGGACAGTCGACATGGCGATATGGTGACATGGGTATATGTGTACATATGTACATGTGTACTTAGATTGCGACTAGGCTGATTGATGCCCGTCGGACATTGGAGAGCGACCAGAACTAGCACAGGAGTTATGAAAGAGGGAATCCTGGTTGACAGCGGGGTTAGGCTGCGGGGTTCTTTGCTGCCGCCCGTCTGGACTGGGCACGAGAGACGGCAGACATGGTGAGCCAGTACCCAATACCGGGGCATTTTGGCCGCTATGGTATTGTTGCCCGTCGAGCACGGAGGGGAGTGGACCGAGCCTCTTGTCGTGTTGCCCTCGTATTGTGATTGTGCACGTATGGACGGAAAGAAGCGTGAAGGCAAAGTCACGGGATTGGAGCGTCTCGGGATGCCCCCCACCTAGTCGCAGCCATCGGGAATAGGACATGACCACAGGCCGGCCCCCCTCCCCTCTACACACGTATACGTAGGTGTGTACATGCGTATGTACATCCAGCTAGCAGCTTGCCCTGCAGGCCCGTCGTCAATTGGAAGCATGGCCAGTGTCGCTATCACGGTCATGCAGCGCGGCGAGGCTGAAGACGAGGGCGAGGCAGTGGCTGGTTGGAGTGGTGCGAGAACATGTGGGTCTTAGTACGCCTAGTATGGATGGAACAAGGCCGATTTGAAGACGACATGTACTCGAAACAGGACGCCTCCTCCATGGCCGCCATTGAACCGCCGCTGCTTGTTCCGGACTTCGGTCTGTATTGTCTCGCCTGCTAATGCATTCTCAAGAGACATCAGTGCGCACAGAGAGGGGCGCATGGCTGTGCCGGACAACGACGCCTCCTTCACCGCCTATTTTGCAGCTTGAGGGGCGCGGGTGGCCGTGCTTGCGGGTGTACGCTCGCGTCATCCACAGATCTCCCGCGCGCGAAACAGGCTGCTGAAGGCTTTTTGCCTTGTCCACATGGGGGAGAGACGATGGCTGGTGCTGGAGTAAGGCGGCCGGCTCGATATCACAGGACGACGGCTATTGTGTTCTTGTCTAGTCGTCGATAGTCATGGTTGCTCGCGCTTCGTTGCCGCCATGAACAAGCGCCCTGGCCCCGCACCATGTACGTAGTGTACTTGGATATGTACATACTATGTATATGCCGTACACATGTAGGCAGAGAGAGCATGTATCGACCACCGCGTTGGATCGGCGCCAGGCAAAACACGGCCGTTGCTGGCCCTGGGACCTAGCATGCACCGCTGCCTGTCGTGAACCGCCTCGACCTATGGATTCACCGAGATTATGCGTCCGCTCCACGACGACCTGCTCTGTGCTCACCCAACCTTTGTACCGCTGCTGCTCGAACCCACTACGCGGCAGGCCAGACATCGAGTACACGCTGCAGCCGCCCGACGCACGATCCCTCTGTGTCCAATTCAGAAGAGAGAGGAGAAAATCTTTATCTCGTCCTCGGCAACATGCTCTCCATCCATCTCTGCCTCGCTCAACCATGGCACTGTGGACCCAATCATGACACTGACACTGGATCGCTGCCTTCCGTCAACGCCTCCAGGGTCTGTCAAAGTGGCATTGTGAAATCTCTCGCAATGGCCCGGCAGGCCTGCGCAGGAACGCATGGCCCCTACTGGCTGCTCCCCTTCTCGTCAATCACGGCCTGTCCCAAATCTACTCCACCAAATCTTGCCATGCTGCTCTTGCTCCAGCTCCAGCTCCAGCCCGAGCGAACCCCCGGCACACAATCTCCACAGTTGCCAATTTATGCCTGCATGGACACGGTTCACAGTTAACAGCCGTTGACCCTTTGCCCCATTGAGATACAGGCGCATTGCAAAGCAGCCATGATCTGGGGGCCGTGCTCGCTGCATGTATGCGTTGGCAGTGACGCCTGATGCTTTCTGGTAGCACCAACCCCAGGTATCTCGACATCCCTCGAACGCATCAATCAGCTCCCCTCATTTGACCGCTTGGCCACGCCCACCCCTGATAGCCCCATGCTATGCCGAATGCGATGCATTCTCGCTTCGAGCCACTATGCTTTGCATCCTCGCTCCCTCACAGAATCGTGTACAGGCTCTCTCCTCCGCTGCCAACCTCAAGCGCTTCAAAGGGCCCCCCCCTCTAGCTGACTAGCCGACCCATTTTTATTTTGCTCTGCCATGCATGTTTGGTCTAGTCTTGCTGAACCCCTCTAGGCCCTGCCCCCATCCAAAAACCCTACATGGAAACTCCACGCAGTCTGTCGCCAAGGTTCCCTGGTTTCGGTACACTTGTCAAAAGGTTGCAGAGTCTGACGTATTTTTTTTTGCCTTCTCCCCTCCTCACGTTGCATATTGCATTAGTGGGCCCTCATTGCAGCGAGAAACGCGAGAAAAGAGCGCCCGTAAAGGGTGCATGGCTGCCACTTTGTTGTTTATGCATATTTGTTAGGCGTCTAAACCTGCATGTCGCCGATCGAGACATGTCCAGCCTTGACGAACGGGTTACAGAAACTGTTTCCGATCGACAGCCGTTTTTTTCGAGCGCTACTGCGGGCAGCACGGTGGCAAGAGTGAACCGGTGAGGCTGTACCTCTTGAGGTTTGACTCTTCTTACTAGCCGTAAATTCTCGAACCTCTGCCGTTGGCTCCCTTCTCGCCAGCACATACTATGGGTCTCTCTCTTACAGAGCCGCAACAGGACCCGCAGCTTATTCATTTCCGCAAGCCCTCTTGCCTCTCGGTTGCTACTGGTGGGCGAGACGCGCTTGGGTACGTGCTACACTGGTCTGGTGCATTATATTACTCCATCCCACAGTAGGCACTTATGCTTCCCCCACCCCCGTTCGACTGACTGCAAGCCGCTCCCTCTTCCTTGCCCCTCATACATTGGCATCCTCCCTCTTCCTTGAACAGCTGTCGTTTCTCTATTGGCACCTGTCAACCACACCTTGAACTCAATCTGCTGTACAACCACTGCCACGACTTACCTCCCTTCGCCCTGCCCTACCGCTGCCGCCAACAAACGCTTGCCAATTCAGTAATTCCTGTACAACTGCAGCCCTACTTTTGGACGGCCAAGTCGCCATTGAATCACCCATTCGTCATTCCCAATCGCTCCATAACACGTCAACCACCAAATCCGTCCTTTCAATATGTTCTACGTCATGTACCTGACAGGTTAGTACCCAACAGGCCCCTTTTTTGACAGTGTACCGTGTGTTCGGGTATTAGTTGCCATGTGAGAAATCACATAGAAGCACCAATTGGCGTGGGACTGTTTGTCTAGTACTCCTGCCTAACCGCTTAGTATCGAGGGACCCACATGACCAGGCGTTCGAAGGGATACGTTCTGATCAAGGTTTCTGCACAATGTACTTTGTTTTGAGTGCTCGACGATCCAAAGACTAACCGTTGACGATAGGTCTTTGCCAAAGGCGCCACTGGCCCGACCCACTCTTCCAGACCTTCCGCACACGCTACGGCTACGGCTCAACTGTACGAGTAAACAACCGTGAATACTCTACAGATGTTGAGTATGAATCCGAGGAGCTAGCCAAGAATGCCGCCGCTACCAGAGCCTACATGATTTGCCGCAACTTTTCGGTAAATGATGGAATGTACCCAGGACAACGACCCGGCGAGGGAGCTCAAGGCCTCCCAACCCCAATTGGAGCGGGCCGACGGAATACGACCTCATCCAACGACTATGACAGCTCAAGTACCATCAGTGGTGGTACGAGCCCTAGGAGTTCCGATTGCGGCCTTGACGCCGCACAAGCGGCTGCCGCGGGACGACGACCAAGCAAAGCTTCCGCTACGCCATCTACTCCATCTGCATGCTGCTGCGGACGCGGCTACGTCCGAGCCTATGAGCGGTGCTCAGGCTGTCTCCAGGATGCTGGTTACCGGGTGTAAAGAAGGAAATATACCTAAACGAAAAAAATAAAACACTCCGATGGATCACGACACCAACCAACATGGCCATCATGATAATCAAATACTTAAGCAACAACGAACGACACAAGATCTTACGAAACCCCCTACAACCGCATCGATGTTTCCCACTCCAAAAAGACTTGAAGAGCCCAAGCTCAGCGATACCAATGACCCAAATGACTACGAACCTGTTTACATCTATTCTTACGAAATGAAGTGCGATGATGACCCTGTTTTTTTTTCGGCTCGAAACAACGACACTTCTCGCTTCCTGTTTTCCTTTGATCTGTTTCGAGATGGACAGTGTATTGTTGCCCTATCCCCTGGCTGGGTCAGAGATCACAACGTGCGTGTGTATACATGCATATGCACTAGCAATGCGCCAGACGATCTCCCCTCTACCGGACGAATCACACGAACCCTTTTCCGCTCATTCTACACCTTTCGTTTTTTTTTGCTTGATTGCCCATTCCTTCTGTTTCAGATGACTGCATAGCGACGGCATTGAAGCGTTTTAGCGAACTGAAGTTTCTTTTTTTTTTTAGCCACGATCCCGACACTTTTCGGGCCTCGTTGTAGACGAGCAAGAGAGGTGTCGGGAACTGGTATACACATCAATCGGATATTGATGTGACAGAGGAGGGAAAGGAAGAACTGTATAGTTATTCTATATCTCCCCTGTTGTTTTCTTAGGACCGGATGTTCCTTTTCTATCTTTCAAAATTGGATCCTGAGATCAAAGTGCTACGAATGTAACGAGTTTTTTTATGCTATTTATCCATCGCCTCTAGAAGTGACTTGGACTTTTGTGCAAGTCAGCTAGAAAGAATATTCCTAGTTTACTGCGTAACTGGATGAAAGTTCTACTGTCCCTCGTTTTTGTTTTCCTCTCGGCTTGTGAAATACCCCAGATGTGTATGCGGGGGAAAAGAAAAGTAGCAGTGTCATAAATAATACTGCTACGCATGAGCCACACAAACTATACATCCTTGTACCTATAGACTTTTGGTGATCTTACTACCGCTGCACAAGATACCTCACTGCATCTACACATAACACACTCGAAAAGAGTCCAACCCACATGTAGACCATAAGCCAGCAAAAAGAAGAAACACAAAACAACAATCGACAAACTAGACATGCCAACGCTCTTCAAACTCCTTCTACCTTCTTTCAACTCATCCTTCTCTTCCAATCTCACCCCTAAGCTAACCTCTCCTGCCAAACTCACCCAACCATCCAACCATCCAACCACTTTCATCCATCTCCAAAACAAAAACAGCCCATAGCACTTCACCACATCCATGCATATATCCACCAACGAATTGACCAACCAACCTCTTCACACACTTACACCACTCCCCAATGCCCACTGATGCCAACCCGAACAAAACAGCCCAGGAACCCAAAGTACTAAAAAAAAGAAGAAGAAGATCAAGTCTAAAAGAAGATTGTATTTTTCATTCCATCATTCATTCATACAACAGACGAAAAAAAAGAAAAAAGTCTTATTCCCACACGGCGGCACACACACACACATACACATAACACAACAACACACAGTATACCATCTCTCTCTCCCTCTCTCTCTTAACCAACAAAGTCAAGAAAAAAAACAGGAAAGAAAAGGGGAAGAAAAAATAAGTACAGGAAGAAAGAGAACCAAAAAAAGGTTGTAAAGAATAGAAGAAGAAAACGAGCAGAACAAACAAGGAAGGGAGGGGGACCTCAATAACAACAAACAGGTGATGAAATCTTTTTTTTTTCGTTTCTCTCTCTCTCTCTTACTTCCCTCCTACTCACACAACAAAGAGACGTGGTGTGGTATATAAAGTGTGTCTCGGAAACGAAAGAGTTATAAAAGAAAAACCCCTCCCCCCATCCTCCCTATCCCCTACCTTCCTCTTCTCACCATCTGCTCTCTACCAGACCGGACAATAAAAAAGAGAAGAAAAAAAAAACAGAGAAAAGAAAAAGTTGGTGTATCATATATCAAAACCCGCTAACACATCGGGAAAACTTCTTCCTTCCCGACTCTTCTTCCCCCCCCTATTCTCTTCCTCCATCCCCTCCTCTCCTACATTTTCTCTCTCTCTCTCAATGACATGCTCATAAAATTGTTCCCGTTAAAAAAACACAACACACAAGATAAACAAACAAAGAAAGAGATTACCTTTCCTGCATCTCTCTCCCTCCTCCCTGCCCACACTCTCTTTCTTCGCCCAATTGTAAATATTCTCGAAAAGGCATGAGAGGAAAAAAAACAGACAACAGGCTCGTATGTTGCTCCTGGATCGGATTGGGAAAAAAAGAGCCCCCAGTCGCGTGAGTGTGTATCAAAATCACCCCGGACAAAAAACTCCCAACCCATGCCCCCCGTCTGGAAAACGAAAAAGGTAATTTAAACCCCCCACCCCTATTGTATAAAAAACTCCCAAATGCAAGAGCAGTAATGTATAGCACAAATGGTTGGACCCTGCCCACACCCTTTTCTCTCTATGTTGGACTAGAGGAAAGGAAAGAAGAAGAAGATCATCGTTGACAGAAAAGTTCAATCTCGCCGAGCCCGCCACCGGGGTTGAGATTACATTGCTGCTCTTTCCAGTTTTCAAATGCCTCTTGAACATCGTCGTCACATTGTATGCTGACATAGGTGTTGTCGCTGTCCAGATATTTTAGCTTAACCTGACCGGATCCAAGAGACACTGATGTCGACCTCTGAAGTTTAGCGTCGATGCGATCTTTGAGCGATTGGTAGCTGATGTTGGTGCTGACGACCAGAACCATTGAGCTGCCTGCCGAAGGACAATGGACCTTGACTTTGAGTTGAGTCGGTATGCTTGGATCCTGGCCAAGTGGCGGCGACATGTTTCGAGAATCCATCGAAGCTGGCGTCAGGGTACCTTGGCTGCGCTCAAAAGATGATGCAGGCGTCATGGTCCGGTTCACAGAAGTAAAACTTGGATCACGGCGCATGGCACCATTGTGGAACTCGGGGGTCTGATTTGCCAATTCTGAGGCGGTCCGTTGCTGAATAAGGCGGTCACGTTGAATGGCAGGTGATTGAGCCGCCGCTCGTGGTGGTGCTTGATTGGGCGAGTTGCTGGCGCTGCGGTTGACAATGGCCGCGTTGTAAGCATAGTGCGTGGGAAAGGGCGGTACTTCGGGTACTGGTTGCTGGGGTGCTCGTCGTGGTTGGCCTTGGAGATGGGAGTTGATATCAGGGCTACTAGCCGCGCGCATCCGTCCTTGGGCTGCAATGGTGGCGTTGGCGGGTAGTGATGGGCGTTGAGCACGGGCTGACTGGTGTGCATTGTTCTCACCACGAGATCCGTGGCGTGATTGCGCGGGGGCAGTATGTCGATTGTTCTCTTCATGTGAATAACCATTTGGTGCTGCTTGCCGGGGAAAAGGGAAAGTGCCGTTATTTGATGATTGGCTGGTTCGTGCATTGGAGTGTGTTGACATTGGGGTTTGCAATGGCGTCTCTGCTGTTGGAGAAAAGTAAGATTCTTGATTGGCGGCATTCTGTATCTGCTGAGTACGCAGTGTTAGTGGTGGTTGGCCGTTGTAGCCCAGAGGGAAACGTGGAGGTGGTACTCGGGAGTCTCCGTCATTTATTGGAGGGCCGCTTTCGCCGGTTGTGGAACGTGACCGCAGGGAGGGAGTGGAGGAATCTTGTCTTACACCGTATGGATTGCGTAGATAGCCAGTCGCGGGATCAATGTCATCGTCGCCTTCATCGTCATCGTCTTCTTGGTAGGGGTTCTCCAGAACTTGGTCGCGCATGTACGCAAATTGGGTATCCGAGGGTTTGGAGTGTGTCGTACTGGCACTGGTCCGGGCCTGGTCCTTCCATATGCGTCTTTGGGTGTCGACTTGCAGGGCCCATTTCTTCATTGTCTCTTCGGAGGTGAACTTGATAATGAAATTTTCAATGCCGGGATCGCCTTTCCAGAAGATTTGACAGGTATATGAACCTACAAGTATGAGCCAGGCCTACATGGAATGAGGATGTGGTAGTAGTCTTACCTGGTTTTTGGAGCGATATTGTCTCTGTAACATTTTGCATGAAAATGCGGCCTTTGAGCTGCAGTTTTGGCTTTCCGTCCTTTGTGACCAGAGATCGTGTAGACATTTTGTTCTTTGGCTTGTTGACGTTGATCTCTTTGCAGCAGAGTAGAATCATTTCAAAGAGGTAGATTTTGTACTGGGCATGTTAGCTGACTACTTGTGGGAGTGAAACAAAAGGAACCACCTACTTCTCGTTCCTCGTTCTTCGAGCTCATGCTCTCTCCTTTCAAAACTGTGTACTGGCCGTGCAAAAGAAGGTCACCAAAACCTTCTATGCGATGACCCTTCCAGTCTTCCACAAGCATCTTGAGTTCCTCGACGGCTTCGACACGCTCCTCGCGGGCAATTGCATCGTTCGTACCTGCAAGTACGGAAGAGGCAGCTTCGATACCTTTTGATATGTCTTCTCGCCGACCTTCATCTAGATCGCCTTTGTCTCGGAGTTGCTGCGCCGCTGCGTTAGTAAAAGGGGATTTGAGTAGGCAGGGCCCGAGATCATACCTGGAGAAGAAGCGGGTACTTGGTAAGTCGCTGAAATGGTTTGAGCAAAAAGGATGCGAGCAGAGTAGGCGATTCAACCATTTGCCGCATCTCTGATGGTCCTCCAGTCTCCTTGAGCTTGTCGAACTCGCGCATAGCCGTTGCCTCGCATTTTCTTTGGTTTGCAATATACGGCTCGTAAACTTTGAATGCGTCCTTGTACAAAACAAAGAGGTTTCCCCAGTTTTGCTCCTCGGCGGGCTGTGCGTTCGTCTGCTCGACACGGATGAGGAAACGGCGCTGGAAATCGAGGAGAGCGTTTAGGTTGAGGAAAATGTCGTGGACCAAATCTCCGCTAATGACACCCTTTTCTTCCACAAGCTTCTTGAATTCTTGTAGTAGTTCCAGATGCTGCACATAGGTGCGTTCTGTCTTGACCAGCTCGTCGATGATGTGCTCGCGTTGGGTGCGCTTGGTGACGACGCCATCTGCATCCTCGCCGGATTCGGCAGTAACGCCAGAAATCTTGCCTTGGGCTACAAGTTC